GTTTGAATGACGCAAGAAGCAAGTCTCCAGCATTTATCGTTTCTTCACGATAGGCGTAAAGCAAAAAAGCCTACTTTTCGAAAAAAATCTACCACCCTGATCTACTGACCTGCTCCGTCGAAAACTACACGTCAACTTTTTGAGATATTGTTAACCCATACACTACTCGACTAGTACTACAAAAGCTCCCAGGTCTTGACTTTATATAAATGACTTTTTTGCTTTTTTGCTTTACGCCTATCTTGAAGAAACGATAAATGCTGGAGACTTGCTTCTTGCGTCATTCAAACAAACTAGGAAGCCGCTTTCGTTTGATCATAGATAAAGTTATATTTGATTGAACTTTGAGTTAATTATACGCTTTATAAAACCCTGAAGGCAAAAAACAGACTTTTCTAACCATTTTTTCTACATAATATCTAAGAGAAAAAAAGGTGGATTCTCACACAAGTCGAGGAGACAAGCACAGTGAGATTTTGCCGAATAAAAGTTATGTATATAAAGTTCGCAGAGGTGTGCGGAAGTGCCCGCCTGTAATTCTTTTGTTACAGTATTTTTCAAAAGCTTCATAATTCTTTTCAACAGAAGTAACGATTCTAAAAACGGTTCACTTGAATAAACATAAGAAACTAACTGAATTATTTGATTTACTTATTTTTAAAAGCTTTTAGTTTATTACTATGTCAAAAACTTTCTCATTTTCACTTAAAATAGATCTGATTTATAGAACAAACAATTTCTTTACAAAATAACATTAAAAATAATTAGTTAAATTGTTTGAAACAGATCAAAAAGTTGTTATCATAAAAGCTGTTTCACTCACAAGACTTAGAGAATGATTTTTGAAAAAATTTAATTTTTGACTTGCGAACAATAACAAAACGAATGAAATTAGTTGCCAAGTGTCAAGTAACAATGTTTCACTACCAGTTTTCATCAGCTTTTAAAGTGTTTATACAATTGTTTCTTTTTTGATAGATTTACACCAAAATGGAACAAGTGAACGCAGTTAGGAATTGATGAAGGAAAATATTCAAATATTTTATCTTTTAGTGGCTTTTGAAATACCACGTAGGATTTACATTTACCACACGAGCTTCAAAATTCACTTAATCATTTAGCCATAGTTTACCACAAACTTATACTACCTGTAGGTATCGAAATACTATTAATTGTAAAAGGATATACTCATTTAATATTTACTTGGAAAAATGTTTGTAAATGTCCTTTAAACAATATTCATCCGGTGCTACTTGTGCTAAACACTCTCGTTTTTTCATTCGCGCATAATACCAGAATAATTGATTGAGGCCACATGCAAATGCAAATGCTACTAACATAATTAATACAGAAAATCTAAAATTAAAAATAAAATAGATTTAGTATTGTTTTCAAATTCCAAATAGTGAATAATTTACTTTAGAATATCGTGAACCATTCGTCCTAGTGATATTTGTAATGGCCCCAAATGTGGATTGATGGTAAAAATATAGACTAATTTTAATGAACTAAAAATATTGGCAGCTGCGAAAACACCCTCAGATATTAGAGTAGGATCCCACGGATCCCAGTCTCTTCTATGAACATGAAGTGCCGATTGTGTCACTGCTGTAGAGTTTGCTTTAGTTGGTTTAAGTAATCGATCACGCTCTTCTCTGTTTACCTAAAATATGCTAAATTTGATTGATATATTCTATTTTTCCTTGACACTATTTTACTTTGATAAAGGCCATAACACGCAGTACAATTGTGGCAACGTATAAACAATTTGTTATCCAATCTAACAGATTCCATGTATCAGCCATATACTGATGTAGACCTTCTTGATATAACTGTTTTATTTCGGCCCATATAAATCCAGCTACATAAATCATAATAGCTAATTCCACCGGATTTGGTGGTGGTCCTCGACGTTCATTCATATCCTCTTCTTTATCAGACAATTTTCCAAAATCAATTCTTAGTGATATAATAAATAACAATACTAAAAATGAAAAGAAGTCACTAAAAGCAGAATAGGAAAAGAAAGCATCGAAGCTTACTCAGGAAAAAGATGTACGATGTACTATGACAAATAAACTTAATGAATGGTTGTCGCATTATTTTGCCCATACGACTTCTTGGCATTAGTAGATAAGCAACAGCTAATAATGGAAATAAGAAACCAACAAGTCCCGTAATCAAAATTTTGATGACAGCGTGTCGACGACGAAAACCTGGTAGACCTTCATACCACAAGGATGCAAGTAATTGTTGGCAATGAGAATGGGACACAAACTAAACAGGAAAAGATGATGAATTTGATGTATACTTAAGACAGTTTGTCATGTCTACATGTCATAATGTTTACTTTTTTCTGTTTATAACGTATGGCCAATTTTAATCGACCTAAATTCATTTTTTCTGTTTCTGATATAACTGGTGGATTTTCACTATCATAATTAAGAATAATTTCTAATTCTTTCGAACTACGTGTTTCTGCTAATAGTGCTGCTGAATAATCCTGACATTGTTGTGCTAATTTTTCATATTCTTCTTTGAATTCATTTTCAATTCGACTTAAATGTTTTAGTTCACGATTTAATTCAAATGCAGTCATAATTGGATCACGACTCGATACAGAAATGTAAAATGGACTCGATAAAGCCTTATACGCATTAATACGTGAGCGTGAATGTCTCAGACTATCTTCTTTATTATAAATCAAGCATTTTTCACAATCACATCTAACATTGTGTGGTTTCGATACTAATTCACCACGATCGGTGAGTATTTTGATTATTTCATAGTTATCACGATGAGCGGCCAATATAATAGGAGTGATATCAGGAGTATAAGATCTTGATGTACTTAGATTCAATTGCTCGGTTACCTAGAATAATCGGTTATTACTAAAACTGAATATAAATATTTAAGAAGATCTAAGTTATACAAATAAAACGCTTGTTTTTAAACTAACTAGTGAATGAAGCCGATGTGATGATGCATTATTATGTTGTGTGCAGGTGTAAAACACTCACTATTATTATTATTATTATTATTATTATTATTAAACAGATTAGATCGAAAAGATCCACTGTAATCCGAAATATACATTAATACTAGGTGTACTGCACACGAATAAAATAGGCTTCCAATTGTAAGATATACTAAGTTTGTTTTTACTAGAGTATTGATCTGCGACGTTTAATGAAGACAAGATAAACTCTGTTTAACGGAAGAGTATATCTGACAATCAAAATCATTGAATTCAAAAGTTTTTGTCATGAACCTGAACACTATCACCCTTTGAAGAAAAATCACTTTTGACAAATGATAGTATATCCATCAAATCTATTATTTCATTTAGTTTTATTGTAGACTATGATCTCGTTTCTAAATTTGATTGACGCAATGAATAATGCTTTCAGGAATCATTTTTTCTCCAAAAACCGTACGCAGTATTTGGACTAAGCATGTAGACGATGACGTTAAGTAAATAAATTCGTTAGATATAAGTCATCGTATAAACTATCATTTAAGTCTTGATGTGGGATAGTGTTCAACATTTTAATATTCCAAACAAAAATTGATCTAGAAAAAGCTACAAAGCTATCATACAAAAACGATGTTTTGTTTTTCGTGCGTTATGAATCGTGCTGGAAAGAATGAGAAAAAGAACGAAATGAGAGGCACACTAAGGGTATCTGTTTGTCTAAATAAATGGCAACATTCATTAGCACTAGTAACAGCAGCAGCGGTAGCAGCAGGGTATCCAGCCAGCAGCAGCAATATTAAGTATGCAACAGGCGTTTAACAAAGCGCATATTGTATCTATCTATCTACAAATTTATCTATATCGAAAGAGCTAATTTTCACAACAAGAAGTGATGTTTATTTATAAAAATAGTAGATTGTTGCAGTTAAATTATACTGAAAGAAAAAAAATAATAATGACGAACAAAGAGTACAAATGTGTTTGATTTGTTTTTCTTTTGAGAAGTGTGTAAGTAGGTGCATAGATATAAATATCAACAGCATGCGAGAAGAGAAACGAGACATTGATTATACTTTTATTACCGATTGCTGCTCTTTTTTTCGTACAGCTTGAAGTAAAAAGGCCCATTTAGATTTTGGACTCTAAAAAATAGGTGGGCTATTATATATTACAACAAATTAGAGAAAAATATTCAATTGGAATGTAAGATTCACTACTGTAGACAACAACATATAAGAAATATTGCTAATAATATATACGTTGCTTATTACGACAACGAATTATGCAGCAAGAATGTATAATGAACAACGTTACTGGATCCAGCGATGATACTCTTGTTATAGAACTACTATCTCATCATGCATAAAGAATGGATAACTTAGCTACAGACATCATTGTCATTGTCACGACAATCATGTATAGCTTCAGATGATTTAACAAATTTCATGCACACTGTTCTTGTTTCAGATAAATGAGTAAAAATATATTTGAGGAGACAAGTATTTATTTTTTGGAAGATAAAATGTTAAGTTCATATTTGTTGTTGAGAAGGTAAAAAAACACCGTAAAATATTTATTATTGTAATGTATCATTGCCAACAGTAAAGTATGTAATTGAATATTAACTATGTACTGTTAATCTAACATAATCAATAAACATGTGATGCAATGCTTTATGTTGTAGGCATACGTATGTCATTATCTTGTTTATGATTTATCCAATTTTTTTTTATCTTTTATACGCGAAAATAAATACAAAGCTCGCACTTCTTCGGTAATGTCGAACATGATTTGCCGCACAAATAATTCTGATTACCAGACATTTCTACATTTTGATTGACATCTATTTTTTACCTGATTAATCAGACATTATCGAGCATGGACTCAATACAAAGTTTTCTCTGCTTTAAATGTTCATCATGCACATTTTGTTTTTCATCATGATATTGACTCCATTTTGTCTTGAATGTCCATTCCACTTGAGACAATGAATTATCGAAATATATTATTTTTTCACAAAATATTTTTAAAGAGCATAGTGTCACGAAGCATGGTATTAATAATATATACAGAAAATGATTAGCAAAAAAAAATAACGTTTCTGATGAATGTACTCATTCGCTAAGTACTTAACAACTGAGACGTTCCCGTAGAGTAATCATATAAGTTATAAAAAACGTTTTTTAGCTCTCATGATCCACTATAGTAGAGACACATGATGGAAATAAAATCTGTGATTAGCACTTCACTCAAATGCGCTTAAATCCCATCTTTTTATACGAAAAATTTTTTGATTTAAAACTAATCAAATTTTTGACTTTTGACTCGAAAATTAAGTTTCCCTTATCCGATATCCATGATAGGTTATTTTTCTACACTATTGTACACAAGAGAATGGCACAACCACTATCATCTTATTTACACTAAGCGGCTTTTTGGCGCAAGGGCGTACGTAAGTTTAATAGACGAAAAAATCCATATATTCTGATGATTCTACACGGAGCTAGTTTCCTCTAAAATTTAAGCGAATACCGGTATAGTAAAGATCCATTATAGCAGTATGAACCCATCTGGTACACTCGTGCAATGTACCAACTTCATCCTTACTTAATAAATATTTGATGGATTGATGTCTTCACCGTGTACTTTACTCGGCACTCAAGAACTTAAAAACATGCACATGAGTACTCCCTTACTTTATTATCATCGTTTTATTATACACATCATTATGTTATATAAATACTACATATTTTCTAAAAAGCATAAAATTTTTCATCAAAATATAGATGACTTCTTCCATGACATGTGAAAACTTATGTTATTTGATATAGAGAAATTCCAATGTAGGCAGTGGTATGTAAACTATTCGACAATGTTTATACTGTAAAATCGTATTAAATAATTAAAAAAACTAATTGTTGATGCGGAAAAAATCTTTTTTTGGATAATCAAAAACTTATACAAGTTCTAATGTTTGAATATTTATAACTTCTAGAAATTCTCACATAAGTACAAAAATGGTACTCATTGAGGACTCATGGGTTCTAAAAAATACTCATGATTTTAATGAGTATCCGTGACATACCTCATACAAGGTACTCATTTGAGTGCTTGTGTATGAATGCATTCACGTTGAATATTTCTACGTAAGCACTTTCCAACAATTAAAAGCATAAGTTATGGAAAAATTAAGAGTCATAGATGGAAAAAAGCTGGGATTAGACATGAATATGGTAAGTAAAATGAATGAAAAAAGTAGCAGTAGTAGCAGAACAAGAAGAAAAAGAAGACGAAGAAGAAGAAGGAGAAGAAGGAGAAGAAGGAAAAGAAGAAGAAGAAGTAGAACAAGAAGAAAAGGAACACCCACTTTGGTTTGAGGATGACACAAAATGAAAAACGACAATGTAAAGTCTGGTATCAAGCATTAGTTATGTGGGAAGACAGTGGATAGAGACAGTTCCATTTAAATCTCAGCAAAAAATGTAAAAAGATAGATAGTTTTTACTAAACATAGCAAACAATTAAATTATCTACAAACCGTTTTATCTTCTTTATCGGAGTCGCTTTCAAGCAAATTGTCCGATTTAAAATAAGACCATGCTGTTTTCAACTGAAAGAAGCCCAATCCTGATGTTGTGAGAGCAAAATAATTTTGGAGAGAAATTGTACTTTTCCCCGGATACTACTATATACTCTGTATATTTAAAGAAAAGGTAAACATTGAAATTATGTCTTACCTTTTGTGTAACGTCGTCTTTTTGCTTCTCCAACGCATCTTGTGCTAAACCAAACAACGGATGTTGCTTTTCTAAATATTGATCACATGATTGCTAAATGTAGAGAAAATTTTCTTTTTAGTAAAGAACTAGTCACTGTTATTAAAATCTATTCTACGATGGTTTCATTCTAGTAAGAAATCTAATTTAGTTCAGCTTGAATTTTGTTAGATTCAAATGTCATGCACGATTAAGTATAATCCATGTTTCAAAAAGACATCCTGAATATCCACTGGGTAATGCAAAAATAATTCAAAAGATGTACAGCTGTTTTTCTTCGACATAAATGCTTTTTGAATAATTTGAAAAACAAGCACCTGAATCAGAAATTTTTGTGTTCTTTTTGAACATATGTCTCAAAAATTTTCTTCGAATCGTACAATTTGTGGTCGAGTATCTCTTCCATATAATTCTACAGATATTTCGAACACATTGAATTGTAGACTTAGACTATTTTTGTTAACACATGAAATAATTTCTGACGTTATACAAATCTATGTACAATAATTACTGCATAATAATTACTGTTTTAGAAGAATTACGATTACATTACAATTTTCATATGTTTTCATATTCAACGTAGTTTAAAATCTAATAAATACTCAAGATATTTTAAAATTTAGCAGTTGTAGCATATTTTATATATTAATTATTTTCTAAAATGAGCATCCCTTGTATCGAAAAACTAGTAGTGTAAATAGCCTTTGTTTCTGTTTTCCTTGATTACTTTCTTGTGTACATCGCCTATTATATTCGCTCCTAGGCATATTCATGCTTCATAAAATATTCTCACTTTTCAACCTTCGGTCAAAGAGTTATAAAGAGAAAAAGTGTGCGATAGTGAGTCCCATACAACAAATTTCAAGTTAACTATGAAAAACGAACAGTTTCCGAGTACAAAGATTTTATGATCTACGATTTTCAACTGAACAAGAGCGAATTTCAAAAATCTTCACAGTCAATCTCTGTATACAAAACGAAATTTTGGATAATATGTTGCTTGAGAAACGTGTACTTTACTGAACGACAAATATCTTAACTTCCAAAAAACACATTTTGTTTTTATTCGCTTGTATTTTATGGCTTATAGAAGAGCGCTTACAGTTTTTTATTGTAAGATCGAGTGCAGTTATGTGAAGGGTAGCACACAATTCCACCAGATTTGATTCCAGTACGTTCTATTAATTCTACAAAACACGAATCAAGCTTCATACGTTCATAGTTATATGGATTCTTTAGTATGCAACCTTCTCAAAAACATTAAAATCATCAGAAGACTATAGAAAATGGAAAAAAAAATAGTCGATCTCCAATGTAATAGAATTTTGACATTCATCATTGTTTTTACTAAGACGAGTACCGTGTTTTAATTATCATCCATAAAAAACAGCTATATAATATGTATGGTATCTCGCTTTATGTGAAAACAATGTTAGACTGATAATAACAACATTGGAATATGCGTATGTGACATGACAGATATAATAAACTCCTTGAGCAACAAAACAAAAATGAATGAATATAGTTTATCAAGATTAGAGAAGAATAATACAATAAAAACCTAGCTAATAATCGAAAATAGTTATTAGTTATATTAAGATGTCAAATCTCATCTTACAATTTTCAAATCATATATCTTTTTTACATCATGCGAGAATAGATAGTCTTTAACATTCCATCGTAGTATTTTGCTCTCCCTGTCCAATAGAGGATAATAATTGGATTACTGTGTAAGTCACCTGTTGGAAAAGATTTTATTAAGTCGTATGAAAGAATGCACATTATATTACGTACTTTATCTTCTGTCATTCGTTTTTGATCATCATGCTGAAGTAGCAATTCAACAGCTTAAATAAAAGAGGTGAGCTATTGGTGATATATCATTCATTTACATTTGTAAAGTTATACCTTCAACAAATTCTTCATCAATTGCATGCAATAATGCTTCCCCCGTATCAACGTTATAATTTAATAATAATTCAATCATTTCCAAATTTTCATATTCAATAGCTGTAATAATAAAGAATAGAACGATAATGATGAAATGAGGGAGAAAGAAGGAAAGAATGAACAATACCTATTAACAATGCACTTCTTCCCAAAGGATCAATACAATTAATATTAATATGAATGTCATTTTCATTTGATATCGATGCTTCCAAATATTTTCTTACATTGGCCATATCGCCTCCTGCAATGAAATTAGCTTCAGTAATAATTAATTTAATAAGCTAAAATAACTTACTTTCAGCAGCAACTAGATATTTTTTTTCATCTTGATTTAAATCTGGATCTCGTCTAGGTATAAGATGAGCCATGGCCGGTGATGTACCAAAATCACTAAATCGTTCTTTATCAAGCGTTGATGAATATAGTGCTTGATCTCCAACCATTTTCTTCGCTTTACTATAATCTTTATAAATTCGTTCAATTGCGCGTGACATAATTGTTTGTAGAACAATATTGAATGTAGACACGAACGAAGCCAATGTTAATGTTTTACGACCATTGACACAACACAAAAATATTTAATAGAACAATATGACGGTGATATACTTCGTGATTCTTCGAAGTATCATATTTTATATTTGTTTAAGATCTTAAAAATGTAATAAATAATTGTATTAGACGTATTGTGATTCTAGCGAAGAGCGGCGACGTTAAGAAAAAAAAGTGATTATAAGATGTCAAATAAATATTCTATGGACTAACTACAAGTGCTCGAAAAAAAAAAATTATTATTTAACTTCAAACTATCTCTTCAAAGTCTTGCAAAAATTCTGCACATATAAGAAGAAGAAGGAGAAGAAGAAGAAGAAGAAAAAGAGGAAGAAGCAAAAGCAGTGGCTACATTTGATTTGTTTTCGGGACATATTATCATCACAAAAAACAAGCATAAATTGCTTGCTCTATGGCTTTTCCATTTCTCCATCTCGATTTTTTTTCTTCTTCTTCTCTTTTTAGATCCTCATATCCTAGTATAGAAACGTTCCTTCATCCTTTTTTTCTCTTGTTCTTTTCTGTTGCCATCTTTGTAACAACATCGATAGTCTAAAGACATCTATACATTTAACTTTTTTCCTTCTTCTTTTCCTAAACAAGTGTTTCTAGAGATAAACGGATTTCTTCTCTATCTGTACTTCATGATAGCAAAAAAAAAAAAAAAAGAGTTAACGACGCATCTGATTTATATCCCAAATCATAAAATGATTTACACAGTTACATAATGTGACCTTTGTGATAAAATTATATTTTCGAGAATAAACTGATGACAGACATATTTCCGTTTGAACATAAAATAAATAAAGGGAAAAATATTGTTTTCATTCATTTCGTTTTTCTTTTCAATTTTCACACTAGGTGGAACGGAAATCAAAAACGATACATATGGTTTTATAAGAAAAAAAAAAAAATTCTCATATTTCTCTCGGTCCATTGGTATATGTAAATGTGAATTTGACAGTTAGGTGATTATTACGTATAGAAATTAATAACTGTAAATAAGTGGTACCAATATATATTAGTGATGGTAAACTAGTACTATTAATTAGCCAGACGTATTTGCTAACACTTCAGTCTATTAGCGAAAATGAATATAGGAAAAAAAAAAAGAACGTTATCAGATTTAATCAGTAGATCAAACTGACCTTTTTTTTTTCCTTTTTTTTTGTTGAAGTGATGACGTGCCCCTTTCTAAATTATGTTAGATCGTGCTAACAATGATACACTATTTAACAGAATAAATGTGAATCTTATCATTCTAAAACATGGCTTTAAGCCTTAATTCTTCATTAGTTATCAATAATATCGGACAATATTCTATCGCGCTTCTTTTTCTATTCGTAAATAAACAATGTGACAGATCAAATAATATAGAAGCCCATTTTATTATTTTAGAAATTTCTTTTACAGTTTCATTTCATACTAAACACACACGATGTATACAGATTAACTGTCTATTAATGAGATGAATTTCCATTAGATGATATTTTTAAAATATAAAAAAAAAAAGGCATCTCTTACTCCTCTTATTAAGGAGTTTGATGTTTACCTTGCATTGCTCTTCGTCACTTTGATTTTTGATTTAAAACCAGAATTATTGTTGTTGTTATTGTTGTATGATTTTTTATGTGTTAATAATATATCTGACAACACATGCTCTTGTGTTCCCCTAAGATGATGAAAAAAGCAACAACATATGTCTATTATTTGTTATGTTCAATATAATAATATGAAAATAGAGATTATGAATGAGCTGTTGAAGTACACATTGCTATATCGTTTGTATTTTTTATCTAAGTGATGAGAAAAAATGTATAAAACGTTGAGACTAATACAATATATATTAGTTTTAGTCTCACCATGTCTATTTGTCTGAGAATAAAGCAATAAAAAAAAATCGAAAGATATATATGATTACACAATTCTAGAAACAAGTAACGAGACAAATACAAAAAAAAAAAAAAAAGAATTAACTAACGACAATAAAAAAACAAGATAATAGAGACTCATTCTGTACAATGAACAGCAAAGATCTTTTTACTTGTATTATTCAAAAATAGATCTTGATTACATATCATAGTATTTTAAAAAATAAAGTATGTCTATTATATTCAGAAAATTATACCATATTACACATGAGTCATTGGTATACAACTGATAATTTAACAAGTTATACTAATTACAAAAAATATTTTACTATTGATTTATTGATGATGTGTCACAAAATATTTTAAAACGTTAATAAAAAATAATCTATATATCAACTAAACTCATCAGAGAATAGTTTTCATTAATAACAGATATCGTCAAAGAATCTAACTTCCTAATGTATTGTTAGATCATTGGATAACAGCTGTTATTTCGTTATTTCGAACATTACAAGATAAGATCAGTTGTCAAACAGTACCTTCATATTAACAAGATTGATCATAAAATTACGTTTTTTTTTTCAAAACTGGTTTTTTTGTTCACTTTTGTTATAAAGTTGTACTATATACTCTTCTATTTTTCTATAAAACCATATGGAATCTATCTCTAACAGATGGAATACGTAAAAGACACTCATTTAGTCAATAAAATATCAGTTTTTTGACGCGAAGTTCCATTTGTCTGTCGAATAACTCTCTATTTCAAAATTGTAGTTACCAACTGGTATTGGTAACTATACTACATATTTCTAGATTAATTAATGAGTCATACCAAACAATGTCAATAATATATCTAAAACAAGTTCATATTAATCTTCATCCTAAATTTTTCTCGCATTTTTTATTCTCTTTTTTTCCAACTAAAAGATTTTAATAAAATATATATCCATCCATCAAATATTTTTCTAGGATGAAAAATGAAGTTATTTTAGTAAAAATTGAAAATAGAATTTTAACTCGTTCTATGATCTTTTGATTAGATATCCAGATAGGAATAAATAGAAAAACTCTTGTCTATATAGACATAACTAGATTATAGTTTCTAGTTGATGGACAATTTTTTCTTTAATATAGATATCAGTCGTAGACAAAAGTATTTCTCTATGTGTGTTTGTCATCTACATCCTGATTCTAAATGATCAAGTGTCTAATGATGGTGACGATAATCGTATTTTAGGGAAAAGGATTCTTTTTCTCGGTTCACTCTGTTTCTTTCTGATTACGTGAATATAAAGATATGGAAATTAACGATTTATCATATACGAGATTATAAATACATAAATGCACGCTTAGAGAAACAACAACATATACACATACACAATGACCAACATTTAAAACAAACGATTATGTTCGGTCAACAGCTGTGAACTCTTCTCCTCATCAACATGTCAAATAAACAAACATTACGCAGAGTCAATATATGATGAGAAAAAGAAAAAACGCTCAATTAGTTCCTCAATTGTCTAGAAAGTTCAAATAGCAAAAATAAATGAATGATACAACAGAATCTATTAGTTAGATGAAGAGACGATTTACAATGATAGTGGATGAAAAAGATTGAGTGTGTCGGCATTATCTATTGTAAAAGAAATTTATTAGGTATCTTAATTTGTTCGAGACTACTTTTTTTATTGGCATTGTGATGAAATATTGTTTAAAAAATACAAAATAGGTTAATTTACTAATATAAGAACGAAAAGAGAAGTGGATGATTTATTTTTCTTCAAACTAAAGTTGTTGTTAATCGATAAATGTTCTACAATGTTATTTTTATTGAATATGTTAGTCAAATTTATCTCTCTTATTATGAAACCTAAATTATATTGACATATTTGTTCATTAGAAAAGAAAATCACTTTTTGTTTCTCTAACAATTTTTAAATTCTCGACATGCTCCTTCTTTTTCTGTTATAAATTATTCAGATATAATCAATTCATATGTCGATTGCTAGATCAAATCTGATCGATCTTTCTTGGAGGTTATTTTTCTTTTTTTTTCTATTTTCTTTTTGTCTTTGAAACAAGTGTAAAATCTTTCTGATGCGAGTTAGTTAAAGTCAAATTTGATTAAAAACAAAGAAAAATGCACACACACACACACGAAATGATTAGAGAAATATCCCATACGATTAACATCTATTCTCAAGATTTTGTTTATTTCAATAATTATTTTAGAAATAAATTTCAAATAAAAGAGAGAGAGAGAGAGAGAGAGAGAGAGAAAGAGAGAGAAAAAGTGTATCTCGTTCGTCGATGTTTGCCAAATTATTTCGATACAAAAAAGAATAATAAAAATCTCGGATGTTTATTATGTACATTAGACGAGATATCTCATCAATTAATTTTTTTATAGAATCGTACTACTGTAGTTTGACATACAATAGTATGAATTAAGTAAAGTACAAGTTGCTGTGACACGGATAAAGAGAATTTTAAAACAGCATGGCTCTATTATCTCATGTTAAATAGTTACAACGACATAACAATTGAATTATAAAATATAATTCTGCGATAAAACTTCTTTAACCTCGCTGACGAACCTATACAGTTAAAAATAATTGAATCGAGCTTAATTAGCCTTGGGTATATATATAGATATATATAGATAGATAGATAGATATACGAATACATTTGAAATGAGTGAAAATAGTCAGACCTACTTTGTTATTAATACACAAGATCACCAATTCAGGACATAAAAAATAATAATTACTTTTACCCTTTTTCTCACTTCTCTGTGCTCTATGAACTAAAAAAGTGCACTTTCTCTATCTCTCTCTCTCTCTCTCTCTCTGAGATGATATCCTATTTACTCAAAAAAAACCTCTCTTATCTGTAGGAGAATAGTTGAAGGTAACAAACTCATCCACATACTTGTATGAAATTAAACAATATATAATATCGTTATTCTGATAAAACAAGCAATGAAATGATTAACGAATCAGTATGAATGAAAATTTGCTTTATTTGCCAGATAAATAATGCTGCTGTAGTATAAAAAAAAAACGATTTGTTTAGTTGAAAAATAAAAACAGCTTGTTGTAGCAAAACATGCACATTATGAAAATTAAAAACATATTCAACGATATATTAGCATATTTTGTCCTAACAGTGCGTAACAGATGCAATGAATATCAATTATTTGTCAATATTACAGTGAGATATGTTAACTCACTCCAGCTCTCAAGTCTCAAGTATGTTGTATAAGTGAAAAAATTCGAAGGAAAAAAAACAGTATTTTTCTGTCACTTAAATAGTATGTTATGTTGTATAAAAAAGTATAAGTTTTCGGAAAAAAAATCAAGAAAATTTTAAATTCACTCCATTCTCAACGACAGATTGCACAACTTCAATCATCCATAGATTAAAAAGAGTGAATTTACTTTAGTAATTTATTGCACAAATAAGTTCGTATTTGTACAACATCGATTTTAGTAGTTACATATTATATATTTAATAGTTATATAGATAGTTTAAGGTTAAAAAATATTATAATTGGTTTATTTATATTCGAAAAGAATAAAAGTAAAAGCAGAGATAAATCAAGATTTTTTACATTATTCCTTTTGAACTATATAGGGCTAAAAATTAATATGATAAACAGTAAGAGTTTTGCATTTATATACTAAGTTTATGCTAATAAGCCTTATTTTTCTAATGCTTACTTGAAGAATTCCTGATGATATTATTACAAAAATTATTTTCTACTGCACACATCTTTCTTTTTAATATGTTAATAGCTCAAAATTATATCGTCATAAAGTATCATCTTTAAATTACTGGTTTTACGTAAAATTCCTTAATTTCACGATTGAATATTGTAATTATTACGAAATTCTTTGCATGATCATTTAGATGTTTAACATTTTGTGATGATATACTCACATACATACACATATTTCCTTTGCTAAATGAACTGTTTTGTTTACAATAGTTTGACATTAACTGACAGTCATCTTTTTCTTGACAAAGGTTTTGTCTATCTACTTGCTAAATTTCTCTCTCGCTCTCATTCTCTCTTTCGTGCGCGCTATTTTAAAAATATACACAAAAACAATAATAATAATAATAATAACAATAACTGTAATCATAATAATTCAAACACAGAAAAATATCTAATTGTTCACAGTTGTTATCGCTGGTGTATCATCGTCTCTATAATCTTATTTCGATTTAATAAAACATTTCTGTTTTTCATCATTTTTTGAAAATTAGTCACCATTTCTTTTTTTTTCCAAGAAGAAATAAAACAAAAAAACTCATATATAATAAGATGATCGGTGGATAAGACTAGAGAGAATGCACATAAACTGTCAGATATTAATGTCTCGGTTGGTTTAAGACTGACATTGACTTTTTTCCACTTCTATTGTAAAGATCAATAAGAAAATGTCAATCGAAATATTATCAACTGTTGTCATTACTTACTAAATATAAGATGTTTCCTACTAACTATATACGTGTGCTATAACGATCAAAAAGATTTTTTTGTTTTACTATGTTAATCTATCCTATTATAAGAAAAATATATATATACAGTGTGATGCATCACTAATTATAAAATGACGATAGTTCTAGATGGTGTCTTATAGTGTAAGATAGTACTGACATTCAATATCATCATGATCAATTGTTTTCATAAATGAAAATATATAATAAAAAAAAAAAAAAAAAAAAAATGCCAATTAACAATGGGTTAAATATCACTTACAATGCAATGTTAAAAGTTTTTTCTTTAGTTTATGAAGAATTTCTATAAAATTGATGAGAATAATAATAATGTTTCCATTTCTAAAAAATCTTTTAGTTATTAATTCATGTTTTTGTTTAAAATGTAAATGACTGATTATAATTATTTTTTTCGGATTTCCGAAAAAATTTTTTTTTGCGTTTATTTGTTCATGTTTATCCCACCCACCTACCTACCTCCCAGTTGCTGATGTCTATTTTATATACAAGCAATTTGATGATGAAAAAAAATGGTAAATTCCGGAAAAGATAACATCTACCTCATTTTTATCTTACACAATAAAACGGAATCTATTTCATCTTTAGTAATAATTGATTCGCTTTTATAGCCTCTAGAAATGACAAAAATATAACGTTCACAATTTGTATTACCACTGAAGAATGTGTGAAACTGATGAAGCATTTGAAATGTTGTAAACAAATCTCTATTTTATATATGAGACACACCACTTACGTATTCACTGACGAATTTTTACTGACTTTGTTAATGTTACTATAAACTATCTCCAAATAAATTTCATATCCAACTCTTGATTTTGTAAGATGTCATGGCTAAGGTATAAATAGTACATAAAAAATATTCAAGAATTTTTTTTTGTCATATTGCAGACATCCTGTCTCTGTTATACACACAAAAATTTAACATTATATAAAAAGGAGAGACAAAAAAATAAAAAAACATTTTTCTCCTTGCTTTGTTTCATCTATTTCTACATTTTTGATAATCTTTTCCTCTATGACTATATTTTTCTTCTTTTTATATGTTATATCTATAGAGTTCTATTTGCGTGCTCTCTTCTTCCCTATACAGCACACACTCATGGATTTTTTTACATTGAATGAATGAGCCATCATCATCATCAACCAACAAGCGAGAAAAAAAATGGATGATATATTAAAGATACATTAACAGTACAACAACAATGTTTTGTCGCGCCTCTTCAATTATTATTTTTCCCTATTATTTTTTTTTCTTCTTTTCACGAAATATTAGACGCTTCGTTTAAAAGTTTTTTTGTTTTAATAATAACAAAAAATAATAGATTTGGACATCGGGTTCTCAATCATCTAACAAACAAGAAATGAAAACAAAAATTGAATAATCATTCAACCAAATATTAACATTTATTATCATTTTTTTCGCTAGTACTAAACTAACACAAAGTACCAGTGGACAGAGAGAGAGAGAAAGAAGAGTAATCAAAAATCTCGGTTAAAAAACTGTAAACAAAGGCTTTGTAATTTGTTCATGGTGCACTACTAGACTTGAAGAAGAAAAGTTTTCTAACTTACAGTCGAAGTTTTACTATAAGTTAGAAAACTTTTCTACTGTAAAACACATCAGTTAAACAGAAAAAAAATCTGCGATTATATTTATAAAAAGCGTTTAATTAGTGATCGTTTCTGAGATATTGATAATAGCAGCTTCACAAAATGGCTAGAGATACTAACACTCAATGTAACCTATGCCATTTTTTGTCCCTTAAAGTTATCAGAAAGCAACTTTCAATAGTTAGAAAAAATTATTAAAAACAGATCAGTTGATGATCATGTCCATTTGGATTATTGTCTCCGTTGTACTAAACTTATTCTGATTAACTGCAGATATATTTAGGTTTAGCTGTCAATTTATAACAACTGCGTGATTATATCTTCAAGTATCATCTAATAAAGTGCAGCCAATTTAAAATAGTAGCGGACGCACTATTTGTCAGATTATTTATAACAGATACTTAATTTATTTAGATTTGAAAAAATTAATTTTTTAACAACGAAGCAAGATAAACTAAAATGGATACTTTTTTTTGCCATAGATATGACAGTTACAATCACACAGAATAGTACAACTGAAAAAAACAGATAGATTTGCAAGATGCAGTCAAGCGGTTCTGTCTGAGTAATTCAATTGCTCAATTTAGATTCTAATTCTGTCAAATTTACTTTTTGATATATAGTTTTACTTGGTGAATCAGGATAAAACAGTTTTTGAAGTTTAAAAAAACGATAAGACGAATCGTTTAGCTTGTGTTTAAAAAATTTCCGTAAAAATAAAGTGTCGCTTTTCTAGATAATTTAGTTCAATCATGTTAAAAAGATTTTATTGCCTTTTTTGAAAATTACCGATATCTTATCAAAAAAGGTACAATGAATGAAGTTTATCATAATAATTGAATGTTGTAATAAAGTAACGTTGACACAGGAGAATGTAATTTTAAAGTGATTTTTGAGATTCGATTGTATAACAAGTTTTTAAAAGATACATGATCATTAACTAATAAGATCGTGTTTAAAAACTAATTTGTAAATGAAATCGTTAACATTATTGCGAGACTGTCTGGCTTATCCACTTATTACTTCTTCAAACGTTAGTTCTTCTCTCTGTCTCATTTTGTTTCTAATTGTACTTTTATTATTAAGTATCAGTTAAGCATTTTTTTTTAGTCCTACTATGTGAAAAATATTCTCTATAGTAGACTAAAATTGTATACTACATAACAAACTCGCAATAATGATAATTGAATTTAAAAGTTCTTGTCGTATCTAGCTACAATTTGATGAGTAAGAATGAAAGAATATTTTCGTATATATAAAAATGAAATATTTGCAAATATTGTTGATTAATGTAAGTTTATGCTTTAAGTATTCAATTTGACTTATGTGATTTCATATTTCATCGATTGCAGGCATTTTGTTAGAAATTGCGCTTATGTCCTATGTATTTTGGTTCAATTGTCAAATGTATTATCGCGACATACAGAGAGTATCACTGGCACTAATAACGTCAATGACGATGAATACGCTGCAAAATCGAATAATAAACGTGAAAGTTTAACAATACATAATAATAGAAAATTTCCGCAATCTTTACAGCCAGGTGTTTTCATGTTGTATCAAATGAGCTTAAACACCAGGCCAGATAAGGATTTTTTGGGGGCTGAATATTAATGCTAACAAATATTTGATGAAATTTTGATACTGAACTTTGAGGACAACAAAGCCCTTGTGAAAACTTTCTCGATCTTTATGATTATTTGCTTGGCAAGAGTCGAAAGTTGTGCCTTAATAAGCGATATACAAGATGTGAAGTTGCAACAAAATGGATTGATAGTCAAAATACGTGCAAAATACAATAATGTTATGTTTTTTCGAGAATAGTTTCATCTAAAAGTAACTTGGTGTTTGTGTCTTGTCTACAAATGATGTGGGCTATGATATTACCACGATAGGTTCCAGTTAAATTTGAATTATACGAAAAATGGGAGTAATCAGAAGTCTTGTATCTGATATTTTGTGACTGGCACTTCATCGAAGTATCATTCGCCTTCGTGCATATTGCTTGCAAAGGCAACTTTCTGTCTTTCCCGTTCATGAGTTAGAGCACGCGAAAATTTTCACAACCTACCATTTTCTCTCGAAGTCAACCGAAAACTTAACATGATTCATATAAATATTAGCTCTTAACACTATACTTGCACTTTTGGATATTAGGTCATTTGTCAACATTGATACAACATAGTACAAACGATGTTGAGCGTGAAGTATTGTATCCATCACTACGCAAACCAGCACCAATTTCAATATTGAAAGCGAATCAAAAACGAATTAATCTAAAAGAGCAAAACACAATGTTACGAAATTATCGAGATGCCGCCACAGAACAAGCGTAGGTTATTGCTTACAATGGCATTTTTCACGCAATATTCGTATATTAATAATTCGTACTCTAATCGAAAACATTTAGAGCACCAGTGCAAGTCCCAGAGGAGGCTCTAGACACTGTCACTACTGATGTTATTCCATTTTCTGCTACTACGCCTGTTCCCACGTCTACGATGCTGACTTCTTCTGTCGTAAAAGTTTCGATTACAGTTACAAATAATACGATTGACGGAAGAAATCATGGTAAGATCTGTAGTGATTATTAAATTAGTTATATTTATAATTATTTTTATATTGTTGAAGAAATGCCCAATTATCGAAAATTTATCTATATGGCATTAGACGATATCAAAACGCGTATTGCAGAAGAGCAACAATTGATACATGCATTAGACGAAGAGAATAAGAGAGCAATAATCGAAAGGGAACAATTGATTTTACGAATGAAAAATCTCGCTACAATTATCTCATCAAATAATGTTAAGTCAGAACGTTTAAGAAATAGAATTGAAGAAAATGAAGGTAAAATCATTCCTAACACGTGTATCTTTCATAGAAATTGATCAAAAATACATGTCTGGGTTTTTTTTAGATTTAAAAGCTGTTATTATTGATGTTGAAAGATTATCGTTATTGAGACTATTTTATCATCTGAATGGTCATCGAAGATTTAATAATAGTCTTGTAAATTTAAATATATCCGATAAAACATCAACTATTTTAAATCTACTTATCAATTCGAACGCTCTTAGATTAGAATCGCCGGAAAGTATGATGAGAAAAAGACTAACTATAAATAAATATATAATTTAAAATAATTGAACACATTTAATTTCCTGTTTCATATTCTCTACTTGTTTAGACATCTTTTTTTACAGATAGATCTTTGACTTTTTCTAGAAAAAGTTCAACTCAGATATATCAGTCTCGTACATACAGTAGTATAAATTATTAAAGATGTATTCTTGAATATTTTCATATAACTTTTCAATTTAATATTCATCGTGCTAATATTTTTCTTTTTACTTTTCTTCGACATCTTGTTAATGTAGGAGGTCGTGCACTCTCGTCAAATGTTCTGCCTTCAATATTCATGTTTGAAAATATTCGATTGAGATACGCTGTTGCCAATTCAATTAAGTCGTTTGGCGGTCGATATGTTCCACTATTATTATTAATATATATTTTGTTATTTTCATCTTTCCAAATTTCACCAGCAAATCGTACATCTAAACTACGATTAGACAACGTAATATGTTTACTGAGTATATGATAAGTAAATTTGTATGTTTCAGGTACACGTGCAATAATAATACGATCACTGAGTATAACAAAACTGTATCTATTCGATTTTATCGTTGTATCTGTTTGAACATAGGTAAATATATCTGAGACATTTTGATCTGATAGTATATGACGTTTTTCTTGTATTTGAGAACGTGATGTCCAAATAATGGGTTTTGAATAGAAAAAATATTTTTTTGTTTTATCTTTTAATGTTGGAATACGAAATGCTTGAAGAGAATTTGGTAGATAAGAATCAAGATTAATTTTATTTTGTACAATTTCAATAATGGAATGTGTACCCCATACTTTTTGTGTTATTCGACCAAAATAAGATGGTTCAGATATATGCATTTCAAAATTAATTTGTATTTCAGACGTATTTATATGATGAAAATCACCTGCATATTTTAACCATTTTCCAAGCTGAATAATTAAGCCATTTGTATCATCTTCAATAAAACTTGAATCATATAATATACTTGCCATTTGTACATAGATAATGATGGTGGTGAGAGAGATATTCATCTTCTTCATTATCAATATACCATTCTCTAAAGAATTTTCATCATTATATAACGTCCATAGGACAAGTGCTAAACTATCAGATATATCATGATTGTCTGATAAAGGAATATATTCTCTTGTTTTGAAAGATCCTTTGGCTATTTTTTCAACTGTAGTATTAAGAGGTGCATGCCAATTATTCTTTAAAGACATTTCGTAGAAACCTTCGTTTAATAAATCATTTTTTGTTAAATTTTGTAATGCGCCACATAAGATTGTCGAATAATATTGACATACATCTGATAAAAGTTCATTCTCACCGTAGGTTAATACAACACATTTTTTCACCAGTTCAACGCAATCACCAGGTGATCGATAATAAAATAATGATAATGGCATAAAATAAGTCAGAGCATACTCGTAATCATGATTAATAACAAAGTTTCGTAATTGACTGTTTTGAATAAAGTCGCTTCTCTTATTCTTTTTACTTTGTCCGTGTAAAACTTCAAAACTTACTTGTTTTTCATCAGTCAATAGTGAATAATGAAATTTGTTAAATAAATCATGAACATCAAATTCTTTACATTCAATTAAACTGCTAATCAGGCACACGACAAGGTTCATATGTTCATGTTCTCCATCACGCATTTGATTCATTACATTTAATAATAAACCAACTATTTTTTCACAGGTTATATGATCATAGTGATAGTTTAGTGTTGGAGGATTCGTTTCATTAACACTATCTCTACTTTTGCCTAAAATATTAAGCCATTCATCGACTGGATAACTATGTGCCATTGCTTTTTCACTGAAGTAATAACTGAGAATTAATGTACAAGATGTAAATACGCTATTATGTGAGTTACAATAACATCATATTTATTGTGAATGGAAACTTGATGTGTCACTTAAATAGAAGGGCTATTTATTAAAATTATGTACTATACAGCATAAAAATAGAGAAAAAACAGCATGAAAATTAATTGGAAAGCGAATCATCACTAGTTTACCTTCACCTTTAATACCTTCACGTTTATCATAACAAATTATGACTGACAAAAATCAGAGACTAATAAGAAAAAGGGAGTGTCGTTTTTTGACGACGAAATAGTGATGAAAGATGCTTATACCATTATTATCTCTCTGTCTTATAAACTTATGTACTTCATGGGTACACCCATTAACCACTTAAAGGAAGTTAATAACATTACATCGCTAAACCATCGACAATATTGATTCAGGCTGGTTGCTTAGTCCAAGATTTTCATTCATTTTGAGCTGAAGTTATACGTTTTTAACATCGGTTTGATCAATGTAAACTTTCTTTTCATACTTCTTATGATTTCAGAAAAGCTTTTGCGTTTTTCATAAACGACGAATTTTTCCTAGCGCGCGAAAGTCTTTCGGTTTGTCTTGAAGATACTTAGTCAAACCGCTAAGTACAACCGGTATGTCACGCTGATTAGAGACCAGTATAGTAGGAGAACACCGAAAACAGTTAAATGGTCTTCAAAAGGGACCGAACATATCCATCGTCAACTTGCAGAAGTTTCAAGAAAAAAACTCATTCCAGCACAACGTTTTTGAGTTATTCTCAAAAACAATTGCTAAACACTCTCAAACTTCTATACAGACAGTATATTATCGACCTTTTATTATACCTCATTAATATATGTTCTAATAAGGATAAGGAACGATAAAAGACATGTTTCTGTGATTGGAAATTCCTTACATTTAGTAGACTCGTAATAAAAATATTCTTCTACGGGAGAATTTAGAAACACGTTACCATTCAACTCAAGCACGAAAAAAAATCGTGAACTAGGCGCTTGCATCTGGGTTAAAAGGTACATTTACCTGGCGCCACTAGCTGCACTGGAATACATAAAATTCCATCTAGCTTTCAACTTACATGCTCAATCTTTCAACTAATGCAGCTAGATAAATGTACCTTTTAATCTAGTTAATCTAGCTGTAAGCGGGCGCTGCAGCAATTTATGCAGCCAGATTTTCTCGCTTACTTAGTCTCGCTTGAGAACAATCTCATTACGACGAATCCTAAGACAAGCAGTTTGATTTTTCGGTTCTTTTGATTAAGCAATGCAAGTTGAGACACGTTTCCTTTTCCTTTTTGTAATGACATGTGCCTCAGATTTAAATCGTTCATCTCAATCTGGAGAAGAATGATGATCAGTTTGAGCAGCGATCTCAATCTAGAGAAGAATGATAATCAGTTTGCATCAAACTGCTCAAACTGATCATCATTCTTCTCCAGATTGAGATAAACAATTTAAATCTGAGGCGCGTGTCATTACAAAAAGAAAAAGGAAACGTGTCTCTCAAAGGATAAATAAGACAAAAGCAAAAAGAAACGAGAAAATGCATTCTCTAGCGAATATTAAAAAATAAACAAATGAACAAATTTTTTAATTGAGTTGTAACTATAGCCAACAAACTGATCATCATTCTTCTCCAGATTGACATGAACGATTTAAATTTAAGGCGCGTGTCATTACAAAAAGGAAAAGGAAACGTGTCTCAACTTGCATTGCTTAATCAAAACTTCAAATCAGACACAACAAAACTCATTGGAGAACAAAGAGCCTTAACCATTCTAATCCCCAGCACTGTCTTTCTATGATCATTTATTCAACTATCGAAATTCATTAATAGTATGAGTTTGCATCTGAAGTTTTTCAGTGATGAAAGAGAAATCCTAGTATGAAATAAGACCTATGGACATATCGCCGTGAAGAAAAAAATAAAGTTCATTTAAAGTTGTGGAAAAATGCTTTTTTGTATTCGGCATACTCGATAACCCAGTAAATTTTCTATTCTCGGCGGGGAGTACTGTCAAAAGTTTAGGAAAATTTTTCGAACAAAATGGCGCAAAAATATCTCCCTGGGAAAAATAATATTAGTTTCAAAATTTTTCTTAAACTTTTGACGATACACCTCGTCAAAAATAGAAAATCTACTAGAGTATCGAGTGTGTTGAATACGAAAAAGCACTTTTCCACGACTCCATATGAACTTTATTTTTTTGTCGGTGATATGTCGTCGAACCTATCACAATTTCTTCTGTAAGTTTTATTGTATCGATATAAAAGAACAAAAAATGGCGAGGCATTAAATAGTCTGGCATGAAACTCAACACGAAACATATGAACTGATAGTTTTCAAGAAAAATTAAACTAAAAACTTAACAACAAAACCAATAGGAAGTGATTTCGAATGCCATTCATCTTTTCTCCACTAGATGCCGACAAAATTCATGAATATTTCAAAAAATTCACGAAATTTCTAAGATTAATTTTCGCGCGTATTAGACGATGATAGTTTCTTTTTTTGTCGGCTATAGTTACAACTCAATTAAAAAATTTGTTCATTTTTTTATTTTTTAATATAAAATCACTAGAGAATGCATTTTCTAGTTTCTTTTTGCTTTTGTCTTATTTATCCTTTGTCATTAATCTCGTGTCACACGTTCGGCCGTTCTGTTGAGTCAAATCGATTAAGCCCTACACACGTATCGAATGGTGTGTGTCAAATTATTGCCACTATATGTAATTTTGATAGACGTAATGTCTTTATTCCATACTTAAATTATGATGATTTTTATTATGAAGATGACACAGTAACTCAGTTATCCTTGAGTAGAGGACTGAGTGAAACAAAATCAACTGATGTAGCTCGACGGCAAACGACAATTGCCGAGTAAGTTGTTACGAATTTTACGTGGTCTTATCATGTCGAATGCGAAAGCATATGTTTCGTACAATTGTGTCGTCCTGTGAACTTCTTTTAAGAATATTCCAAGGATTTTCTACTTTTGTAATTAGCAATAAGTTTTGGTCGAAACAGAAGTTAGATTTAGGGCAAATGCAGCCTCAAAGTTCAGCGTAATGGAAAAAGAAATGAAAATGTTCAGCAAAACAAGACAATTATTTCTAACAATATGCAATGCAGCATTCTTCTCCCCGATGTGCTGATTGGATATGTGTTACTAAGGAGTTCATATACTTGTCACCAGCTTTGAAATGTCTTCAATTCACCAAAATATTGTACTTATCTTCTTAAACACATCCGAAAGTGTCAAGTTACACTGGTTATCTAGTGTCTGTATGCACTTATTACACTGCTGTTCTCTCGTTCACTACGATTGGAAGAAAAGCTGGGTGACAGAGAAGCAAGAGTGGAAGAGAATAAGTTTTTCTAATTCAATTTTAGCATTTCACATCTTAACCCTTTCTTACCCTTTGGTCCCTATAGGGACCATGTTATAAAAGTTTTATTTTTTTTGAACTAGAAGGCTTTTAACGAGGAATCTTATGTCACCTTTAAGAGTAACTATCGTGGACTGTATAACAAGAATCTAAATC